GGCCGTTACATATGACAGTGGAACTTACCGTAGGCAAATTGCGTCACCAGGATCTTGAACGTCCCGGACTGCCCAGGCTGGAGGCGTTTGAGCTTGACCACTACACTCTCTCCAGTGCTCGTCCAGGGCTGGTCATACGGCGTCGAGTAGCCACAGGTACCCGAGCTACCTGAAACACACCCATGTACCTCCTTATTTTGTGACGTATCAGGTTTCAGATATGTATATACCCACAGCAACCATTTCATTGCGAGATATGGTATTCTAATGATATTTATTTATTATGCTTAATAATATATATTTATGGATGTGATGTAAACTTACGGCCAAATGAAATTGCAAAAGAAATTAAAACCACAAATGTAAACTAAATCAATGCAAAACACATCTTCCAAACACAACAATGTTCTATGCAGAAAGTGATACGTGTCAATGGCATTTTTCTGTAGAAAAAGGAACAAAGGCATTGGGATGCAAAACACAGGAACGTGACAACGCCAAGATGCTCGTCATGTTAATGTCGATCCATAGACAATTTTACGCTTAATGTGACGTCATCAACAGAGTGGAAGTTCATGATCAGGCACCTCTCGGTGCACAACGTGTGACGTCAGCATGGCAGGAACGTTACATCACACTCAGCCATCTTCGGGATCGCCTCCAAACAAGAGCTCATTCGACTGCTAAGGCCTCCATTGGACGGGACAGTGCGCCGACGTCCGGCTACGCTAGGCATGGACGTCACCAAGTGTACAGACGTCGAGGTGAACGACTTGATCGCAACTGGGTTATCATAATCTTAGTATGGGGATTTCAGCCCGTCATTTTTCCTCAAAACCCCAATGCCCAAAGTTACGCCAACGCTATTATTCACACGTTTTTGTTTGTGTGTTTGTTTGTTTGTTGTTTTACGCCGCACTCAGCAATATAACAGGTATATGACGGCGGTCTGTAACTAATCGAGTCTGGACCAAATAATCCAGTGATTGACATCATAAGCATCGATCCACGCAATTGGGATCGATGACATGCATGAACCAAGTCAGCGAACCTGACCACCCGATCCCGTTAGTCACCTCTTACGACAAGCATAGTCGCCTTTTATGACAAGCGTGGGTTGCTGAAGACCTATTCTACCCCTATACTATACATTCCGCTACTCGGGAACCTAGCAAAATGATCATCCTGCCTGCCCCTACAGCCAGGTCCATACAGTCATGTCCGCACAGTCATGTCCACAGCAAGGTCCTTAAAGTCTTGTCCACAGCTAGGTCATGAACATCCGTTGGTTGGTAAGCGACAGTGTAGACGTCATATTTATATCTCGTGTCAAAAAAGACAGTTGAGGTGAAATGGGGATTAACGTCGCGTCCAAGATTATTGCACTTATATAGCGACGTGCATGTACGTGTGTGTGTGTGTGTGTGGCTGCTTGAACTAGTACGGACTGATGTCGATTTATAGTGCTAGCCCACTGAGATACCATGCCGCAGTTTAACATGAATACCCAACTCAGACGCAGTATACTGACTCCGAGCCGACCAGTCCTTGTATTAGCCCCTTAATGCCGAGCGCCAGACAGGGTAACAACAAGTACCATCTTTACACGTCTTTTGGTATGACGCGGCCGTGGATCGAACTCCGGACCTTCCGCTCTCCGGGCGGACGCTCTACCACTAGACCACGGAGGTGGTCTCAAAATAGACAGACAGTATTTGAGACCATTGACCCATATTGCAATAAAGTATGATATACATGTATGACATGATATACAGTAGGATTCACACTTATTCTATTTACATTTGTCAAATATCTATGTCAATCCAGTACATATCAGTCTGTTGGTATATGTATACTTATTAAAATGTTCGTAATGTGTTGAGGTAAACATAATTATTATTTCACCAAATATCAATTTACCAGCTTCTGATTGGTAAAAGAGCGGACAATTATTTTCGCTAGCTCATGTCGCCCGCTGAAAATCAACAGGAACACATCGCAGGTAGCTTGTACATCTCGAAAACGTATTGTTGCGTTGAAATGAACCGATGCTTATCCGCTGGCACTTGGTAAAGGGACGTAACTCGGTTTGTCTGCTCCGATCTTTTTTTGCTAAAAATATTCCGGACCTCTATGAAAAAATGTAGGTAAGGTAAATTTGTTTTTAACCGATCCCTCGGAGCATATGGTATTATGTACGCCTGTCGGCTCGGGGTACGTAGGCTCACACACAGGGTAAAACACACCATATACCCGTCGAGATCGGTTGACAGCCTATACTGTCATAACTGTTTACAGGGGGGCACGGGTGGCCCAGTCGTCTAAGGCGCCGCGATTCGCTGTGCAGAGTTGCGTCCCTTGGGCACGCCAGACACCTATGATTGTGGGTTCGAATCCCGGTTCGCCCCGATTATGTTTCTAGGTTTGTCAGCACCATACCCGTGCTCGTGGGTTTCACCGAAGTGGTAAACGTCTGAGACCTGCATCACTTCGGGCTTTCCTCCCACATTAAGCTGACACGCCGTGATATCACTGGAATTCTGTTTAAAGCGGCGTAAAACTCAACTCACTCACTCACTACTGTTTACACACCATCACTTGTTATGTACACACGATATTTTGAATAAGTTAACCACGAGCTACTCACGGCTGAGGTAGTTGCCAGATGTGTCCATGACATCAACACGACTCAGGGTACAGGAGCCTGAAAGGTTGCCATTAAGGCCGATGTCGAGGAACTGCACAGAGAGGTAGGAGTTGGTGTGGTAGTTGTTGATTGTCGTGAATGTCACCGAACATGTGTCTTGGATTGGCCAATCCCAGCTCCGGAGCTTGAGGATCTTCGAATCAGTGACGTAGACAGTGCTGCCACAGTAGTCATCGATGGAATCTGCGTAGAAGACATGGAGATACATGGAATTGTTCGAAAGTTTGCTGTTGAATACAAAAGCCATATTATCACTCTATCCCCGGTCTATCGTGGTTAACACCCTGACCCCATTCGCTACCACAGCTTCGTTAAGGAAGTGACGTCACTGGCTCTCTTTTGAGAAAAAAAACTTCTTCACGTAAAATTCATCCTGCTCCATTCGTGACCAACTCGTCACATTCCGGGACAAGCCGAATGTAGACTCGTGCCCCTCTCGGAGGTTTCCATATTGGCGTTTGAACACGAGAACTAATTCAAACAAGAACGATAACTCTGATTATTCCCGCTACACAGTAAAATTAATGTAGGCACTACATGAACGCTGACTTAGTTCTGATATACGACCATTGAACCTCTCTGATATAGATCGATATATATTCTTTTGTACAAAAGTATATTTAGCAAGCCATTCAACTCATTCTTTCTAAGCTGTTTATCTTTTATTTGCAAATTATTAATTTTTAGTAAGCTACTAGGTCCAAATAGACTGAATCTCGTTTTTCAAGCGAGATAGTAGCTTACAATATCAATTACAGGTTGGCCTGGTGATGTTTCGACTATGTACGGGCAACCGTCACATAGGTGGAATATTGCTTCGTGTGGCGTTAAACAACAAACAAGCTTATAGGTTCGTTCAGAAAAATAGGAAAAATTACAATCTTATCAATTATTGTAATGACATGTAGCTGAGTATAACATATGTGCTGGATATAACATAAATGAAATTGTGTGAGAGTAACATAACTAGTCTCTTACAGGTTTAATAAACCAGAATATAGGTTCGTCATTAGGGTAATTTAAAACCCATGAAATTTAATACATTACGATTTTTTATCTTTTTTCCGATAGCTTCCTTTCATCGAGAGTTTTCTTTTACAAATTTCGAAATACAATGTAATTCGTTCACATCTTATTCATCTTTGCGTTTATGATTTTTGTCATACGAACCATTATATAGTTGTGAATATTTATCGAGGAATCGGGTTTTTTCTAGCAACCTGTATTTTTCTTCTTGAGTTATGTCTGGTTAATGTAATACAGGTATGTGATACAGAGGTGTGCGTGCGTATTGGGGGTATTTTAGAGAAGCAGATAATCACCCAAAGATGTATTTATAGCAATTAAATCCGTTAGGAATACATTACCACTGTCCTAATTTTGATATTTATAATTCATCTACACAAATCCAACCGTCAATATCTATTAAAGCGAAGATAAACATCTTTGTTATACAAGTGGATTGTATTTACCATAATATTATGGAGATAAATTATTATAACTGGATAATCGAAGGTAATGAATGAATTAATTCATTAATATCAACCACACACCCTTGCACTTCATTTTGAAAATGATGACATCCTTAACGAGATTGTCAGTAGGAAACAGACATGTCCTATGATACTGGTGTGGATTCCGGGTAAGAACAGAGCTCCCCATCAACCTATGCTTTTCAAAAATGGGACTACGTCACAAACATGTGGTGTTGAAAAGAGCTAATACTTACTAAAATATTATACTCATTAGTATGATTAAATCAGTTAAAAGTTAAACTTTATTTCAGCAATAATTTGCCATTGGTATGAGCGAGAGTGAAATTTTACGCCGCTGTTAACAATATTCCAGCAATATGACGGCGAGGTGACCCAAAACCCGGTCCTTCGATGTGACGAGCGAACACTTTAACCTCCAGGTTAACCGCCCCCCACCCCACCCCCACCCCCACCCCCATCCAACACCTATCCCCACCCCCACCCCCACCCCAAACCTCGCCCCATTAGTATGTACACAAGACTTATGTTCATGACGATCACTAAAGGTTTGGTCTGTTTCTGAAATCATGCAGATCTTATCGGCCAAAGATGTTTTTCGGCCTACCTCGTCATGTAACCCCACATGCGCCGAACAAGGAGAAAAATGTGGGTTGTAATCAACTTCCTTGTCTGAAAATACCTGTATGAATGAATACATGAACCACCGTTTCTGCACTCTTAGTACACTTTAAAGAAAGCGTTTGTTGGATGTTATTGTTTAAACATTACATGGTGAGTTCACAACAAGGTAGTCCTACCTGTACTGGGGTATCCAAACACTGTCACGATTGCCTGTAGCAATAAACACAAGAAGAGACGAGACGCCATTTTGATTATGTGCCTCTTATCACATACAAACATATGCGTTGCACTTTGACCGTTGTCGTGGAAGCTATGGCAGGCTCTCGCATTACAACAACCTATCCGTAATCACGTTATCGTGTTACAATATATTTAACATCGTACACTGTTTATGACGTCACTCCCGTGTCCGCATCGTACACTAAAAAAATACAAAATGGGTTAGAACTGGTCTTCATTGACGCTGGCTTGTCGTAAGGGGCGATCGGTAGCTGTATAGTAGCTGAAAAAGACATCTAATCTCCATACATAATTTCAGCCCACTCTCCCATCGCTACCCCAACCCAGGGGGCGGTCGGGTAGCCTAGTGGTTAAAGCGTTCACTCGTCACGCCCAAGACCCGGGCTCGATTCCCGACATGGGTACAATGTGTGAAGCCCATTTTTGGTGTCCCCCGCCGTGATATTGCTGGAATATTGCTAAAAGTGGCGTAAAACCATACTCACTCACTCCCTAACCCACCCCACCCCAGAATATTAAATGGTCTGTCCTTAGGGTCAGAGTCTGGTTTAGCACATGACGTATTATGCTGACAAGCAACAGGTCCAATATTTGGTAAATTCTGTCTACCACAAAAAAATTTAAATGACTAAACCAGACCTTGGAAACATTATGTGTGCTTCAATGAAATTTAAATGAATGTATGTGCCCCAAATTAAGGACATTTAGCAATTTAGAAGCCCTTAGCGTCATGTTTAGATATGATTAGCTCTAGAGTGTTTAGGATTATGTTTAGATGTCGTATCAGTCGGTATATCCGATTCCTCAAGAGCCTTGAGTGGCTGTGCAGGGTATTTCAGTTAAGAGGATCCTTGAGGAAAGATCATCAGAGGACAACGAAAACCTACAAACGCCAGGAAAGATTTATTGATCATTGTGTGAAAGTATTTTGAAGTCTATTAGTGATCAAACCTTTTCTAAAAAATAATTCCATTCCAAATATGCCAGAGTCATGACTTGTTTGAGTGGTGCTTATCTGAACTGAAACGTTTTGATTTGGAATCTGAATATTGTGAACGTTTTGGTTCAAAATATATTTTGATGATGAACATGTGTTGAATAGAAATACGTTTAAATTCGAAAGATATTTTGATCAAAATATGTTTGGGCCTCTAAACGCACGCAGGGGCGGTCGGGTAGCCCAGTGGTTAAAGCGTTCGCTCGTCACGCAGAAGACCCGGGTTCGATTCCCGACATGGGTACAATGTGTGAAGCCCATTTCTGGTGTCCCCCGCCGTGATATTGCTGGAATATTGCTAAAAGCGGCGTAAAACCATACTCACTCACTCACTAAACGCACGCACATTATAAGCCAATGAACGTGTGTTTACGTTTGTGTTCAGAGAGTAAACTTGTAAACAGTTTAACGTCGCGTTCAAGATTAGTGCACTTATATGCATGCCCGTCTGTGTGTGTGGCTGCTTGTACTTGTCCGAACTAATGCCGATTTCATAGTGCTGGCACACTGAGATACCATGATACAGATACAGTATACTGACTCCGAGCCCACCAGTCTTTGGTTTAGGCCCTGAATGCCGAAGCGCGAGGCAGGGTAAGAACAAGTACCTGCTTAAACGTCTTTGGGTATGCCGCGGCCGGGGATCGGACCCCCGACCTTCTGGTCTCCGGGCGGACGCTCTGCCACTTGACCATGCACGGAGGCGGTTGTTTTAAAAGGGGAAAAAGAGCATGATGATAACAGTAATTGAAGGGAAGTAACTCTTCCAGTTAGAAGCTGGTTTCAGTTATACGGAAATTCGTTTATACGGACGAATTGTGAAATACAATACAATAATCAAAAACAAATCTGAGTTTATTGAAGCTTCAATAAGTGACCTGCTGCGTCCACGAACTGAATAGGCGATCTTCTTCCACTTTCAAGTTGCTGTCTCAGTCGGTTGAGACGCTGGTCAAGATCTCTGTAAGCTCGTGAGCGTGGCCGAGTTGTTGCACCATGGTCAATCTGAAGGCGAGCGATCTTGTTGGTGGATTCAATCTTCTTGATAGCTGTTATGAATTCATAAATGTTCGGATGGTGCTTTCTCACAAGTTTTTTCAGACCATTATGGATTCCTTCCAGGTGATTGTTTGTTCTGGGACCAATGTTGTTGTGTTAAATTCCAGAGACAAGGCATCCAGTTTGGGGAGGGGGGGGGGGGGGGGGGGGGGGTAAAAGCTGAAGACGAATTCTTTTTTCCTACCCCATAATTAAGAGAAATGTTTTTCTGTCATATCAGGTGGCGTCTCCCTCAAGCAAAGGAGATAGGATAATGGTCTTTATGGTCAGGTGACGTGGCTTCTCACTCAAATAGAGGACTCTGGATTACTCACATTTATTTTCATAGATCACGTGGCACCTCCATGAATCAGAGGAGACTGGATTAGGAGAAATGTTTTCAAAGACCAATTGCATCTCACTTAAGCAGAGGAGACTGGATTGGGAGAAATGTTTTCAAAGACCAATTGCATCTCACTCAAGCAGAGGAGACTGGATTGGGAGAAATGTTTTCAAAGACCAATTGCATCTCACTCAAGCAGAGGAGACTGGATTGGGAGAAATGTTTTCAAAGACCAATTGCATCTCACTCAAATAGGGGAGATTGATTGATGAGACACGTTTTGACAGTCAGATCACGTGGCACCTCCATGAATCAGAGGAGACTGGATTAGGAGAAATGTTTTCAAACACCAATTGCATCTCACTTAAGCAGAGGAGACTGGATTGGGAGAAATGTTTTCAAAGACCAATTGCATCTCACTCAAGCAGAGGAGACTGGATTGGGAGAAATGTTTTCAAAGACCAATTGCATCTCACTCAAGCAGAGGAGACTGGATTGGGAGAAATGTTTTCAAAGACCAATTGCATCTCACTCAAGCAGAGGAGACTGGATTGGGAGAAATGTTTTCAAAGACCAATTGCATCTCACTCAAGCAGAGGAGACTGGATTCGGAGAAATGTTTTCAAAGACCAATTGCATCTCACTCAAGCAGAGGAGACTGATTGAGGAGACATGTTTTGACAGTCAGATCACGTGGCACCTCCATGAATCAGAGGAGACTGGATTAGGAGAAATGTCCTAATAGTCAGATCACATGCCATCTCACTCAGTTTCGTGAGCAAGAGCTAGATGCTGACATCAATCAGGATCACCACAACAAAGCCTTGACATTGAACCTGTATGTGAAACAGGTCATGCTCACGGTGTCTTGTTGATAGGATGAACATATTTATTTCCGATTATTTATTGATTGGACTGGTACAATCTGTCTGAGAGATTCTCGTGCTTCTCTTGACATATGCATATGGTATAGAACAATCCTGTTTTCATTGTACTACTTAAGATTAATTTATCGCGGTAGTGACCGCATACGGCACATCATGATAACTAATATATACCTATATATTAATTCATTTCCGTACTGTTCCATACTACCCAAGCGTCATATTACTAAGCGAGGTGAAACAAACTATTGATTTTGTCCTGTGGAACACAACTGTGAAGCTGAAAGAACCGATTATCTAAACATTGTCTTCAAATGTGTGTGTTGTATCAGATTTTACACGTGTAGGGGCGTTTCACACAATGCGTTAATATATTGCGGACCCATTGACACATAAACAGTTTCTGAAACATCCAGCAGGCCACGGAACGTGTTCGAAACTAGATAAAGCATACCGATTGCGGAAAGGATGAGCATTCTTTGTCGTTGACCGGGTAGGACGCTACACCATGATATCGGGTCAGTTGCCAGGCTTCTCCAAAGTTTACTCCTGACATGGATGATGGCATTATTCTGTGTTCTGTCCTTGTCGGAGCTGCAAATGAGGATCAGGTGGTTACAATGTCTGAACTAGCTGTGAGTCATCGACGACGTTGTTCGTTGTCACTGATGTTCAGACACTGAACTAATTTTATATGTGCCACTTTTTTATAGCTGTACTATTGAAGGACAAAAATATTCACACTATATACTCCCAATGAGCAAGGATATGGCCACTAATAACAATATAGTGAAAATGAATTTCATTGACAATAAAGTAGAGTAACAACGGTATCTTAAGTTCCATTTCCTTATCTTTGCCTCCTTAGAATAGCATCGTCCACAAGTGTAGGTCATTTCCAAATTCGACACATCAGTCACGAAAATGATGTCCGTTGCAATTCCCTATTTTGACTTGCAAATGTTCCCGTGTTGTTTGAGATGAACGCTTGACTTGCCTTTGCACGAGTTTGTGACGAGTGTCACCTGTGGGACAGGATAATTATGCTGACCTGTTTGCAAACACCTGGTATCCTCACGAATTGATAGTGATTCATAAACACATACTAAGGAACGTATAGTCGGAATCACACAGTGACTGTTTTTAGGAGAGTTGTCGTTTTAAATTCTGAAATGAAATCAGAACATCCAATAATGTGACGTGTCCCACAGCAGCAGCCGTAGAGATATCTGTTGTTGAGAGGAACGTCCAGTAACATGGGCAAGTCATGGCATGACAAACAATAGTAGTCATTGTATTCATTGTTTTATTCACGTTATTTTCAAAACAAAAACAATATACAAGATCCGCTTCAATGTTCAACAAGCACTATGTGGGGGTTCTGTCGCTGCTTCACTGCTGATAGTGGAACGGGTAGGGGTACCCTGGGTACAGACTGGGAGGGTACATCATCGACACATGGGGTACTGGGTATTGGTACATGGACTGGTGCATCATGGGAGACATGTACCCGTATCCTGGCGCAGACGACAACATGGCGGCCATGTTTTGCTGGAGGAGAGGGTAGTTCATCGTTTTGGTGTCGGAGGCTCTCTTGTTGCGTGCTCGCCTGTTCTGGAACCACACCTGCGAGAGAAAAATAAAAATAATTTGATAAAGTTTAAAAACATCATTAGCAACAGTCCATAGTGAAGTGATTCAATCTGTTTTGAGTGAGTGATTGATTGAATTGGGGTTAACGCCGCTTTTAACAGTATTC